CGCATCATCAGTTTTCATGTTGAGCAAAAAGAATTCATATAGGCCCTTTCGTATGAACTACTCCACTTTTCCAATTTTTACCTCCAAGTAACGTCTTGGATCCTTTCCAGTCAATAATCCGGTCCCCTTCCCTCCTTGTTGCGCTAGGCCCAAACCACTACCCCATCCCACAGCCCTCTCCGCCTGCCTCCCTTCGCCTCTCCAGTCATTGTAACTCTCCTTCCAACTTAATGAAGCCCAGCCAGCAGTAACTCTCTTTCCAACTTAATGAAACCCAGCCAGATCATTTGCCGTTTGAGTCAGCCTCATCCCCATTTTTGGTCTTGCAAGCACCGTCGCATTTTCGATTGTCGAGTCTGATGCTTGCCTGAGACGGAAGGGGACATTTACAGAGTGCTTAAAAAACGACTTTATGACAAATTCCTCCAAAAAAGGCACAAATTTTCCAATGCTGCTTCTGATTTTACCGCCCTGGTAGAATGTTTTGAAAATTTCTTTTCCAGTGAATTTGGAGAAGTCCCCGAGAAATTAGTTGAAAATGATTTTTAAATTTCACTAAAGCATTTTTGTACCTCCTTTAAATTCAGTATTTCTGACACAGAGCGGTGCAGTGGGCGCTGAAATTTGTCCAGTGACAGTGAAAACGCGTAAAGGTGAGGATGTGGTGCAACGAGACGAAGAATACACAAAAGTTAATTTCGAGAAATTGCTCAAGTTGAAGCCTGCTTTTAAAGGTGTGTACTGAATCTTTATTATCTTTGGCTTTTTTTGGTCTCAATATTATTAAATTACTTACTTGGCTTAGCTGTAATTTGCAGGGTTACTCTCCAGCTATGCAGCTGATAACTTTTCCAGTAGCTCTGTTCAGTGCTACAACGGTAATTACTCAGCTCGGTCTCGCAACAAGCACTCAATTTTGAGGAAAAGGCATTCTTCTGTAGATTTCTGTGCTAGTTACGAAAATCATAGTCCTTAACAGTCACCGGATTGTTTGTTTTGATTGATTTTTGCGTACAGGCACAAACTTACCAGTTTTCACTCAACATCAGCTTGGCATTATAAGCCCATTCAACCACAGTTCCTACCCTTGCCTCCAGGTCTTGCCCCTAGGCAACATTTCAACTCCTTTCCAGTTATTATTCCAGTCGTCCCTCTCTATTACGAACCCATGCGACATAAACTGGTTTCTTTGCTCCTTTACCTCTCTCCACTTATCCTGCTATCCAGGGACGTATCACTGCTATTTCAAGTCGCCCTCCTCAAGACCCTAACAAGCAGAGTTTGGATGAGCCAACCCACCTACCACGAAACGATGATGAAGATCGCTTGGGCGATCTGTAGGAGTATCCCCTTTAGTGATGTTACCAGGATGCTAGCGACAAAGACAAGTCTAGGACGTGCTCCTGGGGGGGGCGGCGACGAGTGTTGGTAGTGGGGGCGGGGAGGAGGGGAAAAGTCCCCCACTCTGAAACTATGCGAAAACTGGAAATAGCGTTGTAACACTGCTACTTAAAGTTACTTTAACAGACCGGCTTTTACAGCAGTGATGCCTGTGCCGCTGGCGGGGAAGACCCTTTGCCTCCCACTGGATCCGCTTATGGCTAATGATGTTACTGCAAAAAATAATAAAACTCTAAATCGTGTGATATTGGAAATAAACTGCACACTAAATCGAAAGTGGTACTCTCTCAGATCTTAAAGAGAGACAGGAATGTTGTGACCAAAGCTACGCTGCTTGGCTGCAATAGCTGTGGATTTAATACAGTTAGGCTTGCATTCTGGGGTCGTTA